CTGAATACCAATCTGCACTTAATTTCATTATTTTCACTTCAAAATCATTATGCAGATCAGAAAATATTAAAAAGGAATCAAAAAATTTAAATATGTGGGGACAGGTATGGTCTTTTTCATATATGTGTATGTACTTACAGGTGCGCAAAAAATGCAGAACAACCCGGTGTTTTCCCCTACGTAGGAATTTTCGTATTTGCTGTATTCCCAGGGATGTAAACACTTGTTCTATATGTCAGTCATCGTTAGCACTGCAGCATTTTTCTTTTCTCCCATAGTCACTGCTTCATTTTCAAGCACACCTTTTGAGGTAAGCCAGAGGTTCAGGAGCTGTGATATAAACTAAAACTGAGCAGACACGCCTCAACATTACTCTCAGTATCTCATCTTTCTTTATATATTCAAGAACAAAGAAATCATTCCAAGCTTTCCAGTACAAGGTTTAAAGAGGATTACTTTTCTTGTCTACATCCTTGCCTCTGGAGAGGCAGTAAAAAAAAAGGAAAGAACAAGTCTTCTTTCCTAAGTAGTCATGAAAATGACAGACAGATACACACACATACAGAAAGAGAGAAAAGAGAGAAACTGTACTTTCAGATTTTAGAGGCATGATGATAATTATTATGACATGATGATTATTAAATATTGTAGCTATTTTACAAGTCAAGTATCATAGAAGTGATTTTGCCACTTAAAGATATTTGTAATTGAGTATATGGAAACACCTTATGATGAACAAAAATTTCCAAAAGACTTTTTCTGGCTTAATTTGGACACACCAATATACAGATGACAACTTTATTAACACACTTCCTCATGTGATCAGTAGGCCTTTCATCAGAAGAATTATTATACAGACTGGCCTAATTCTGAGACCTACTAAAGGTACACTTACTACTGGAGGCTGTAATAATAAAAGTTTTTTAAAAGTTATAGAGAAAAAGGAAGATATCTTCAGGAAAGAATGGAAAACAGGAATCATCAAATGTGTTTTCTTTGTTGACTAAAAGAGACAAAGTTGTTTCCGTTTTCTAGGTCAAAAGGTTTGAAATTAGAAGAGGCATTTCTTCTTTTCAATAGGATCAAGCCTTTTCAGATCTTACATTTCAGACTCTTCTGATTAGAGGATGATACACTGTACTTTAGCAACACAGAGTTCAGAAGCAATCACACAGCATAGGACAGTTAATAGATAAAGCCTGGATTTAGAATCAGAGAACTGAAAGTATTAGTGGCTTAATATTCCTTCCTCACCCCACCTATTTCTTAAATCAGTGAAGAAACCTTTATATTATAATGTCAGCATAAGTCACCAAGGCCAATGCAGGCTAGCTGAGGGTCACTGTCACCTTAACCTAGATTAGATGTCAAGCTTTAGGCATAATGCAAAAGCTTTCCATTAAAGTTTCGTGGAAAAGTGATCTTATTTAATTTATTGCCTTGATTCTTAAATTGAATATCAAATCAGGCTGTCTGAAATCACCACACTATTTAAATCCATTCGCTTGTTTCAATTTTTTTCAACCTTTAATGAATTCCGTTACCTGAATTCTGGCCATGATAAAGTAAGAGGGACCAGGCAGCTCTCTTGCCTAAAGGTGTTTTTTTTTTTTTTTTGCCAACCTTCTCCCTTTGCAAAGCAGCAGAGACAGTTCTCCCCAGGCTGCCCTGTGACTACACAGGAGTCTCTTTGATAAGACTTTGTCAGGGGCAGCTCTTCCTGCCTGCTTGTATCTGTGCAAGTGTACTTTACTTTCCTTCTCTTGTTACAATAAAACTGCCCTTTAGCATATTAAAAAAAAAGTAAGAGGGACAAGATTTGCCTTCTTAGCTTTAAACAACAAAACAAACTGGACAAAATATATGAAGACAAGGTTTTTCAGTCTCTAGACAGAAGTCACTGGAAAATAGTGATCCTTGGGAAAGAGGAAATAAAGACCAACAATTGCCCCAGTTATTAGTTGGAGAACCACTGCCTATAATGCAGGAGGAAGGAGATCCAGGGCTGCCCCCAGACATCACTGAGATGAGTAGGTAGAGCAGAGAGTTAAGGGAAACCAAAGCAGCTGAAACTGAGGGGCAGGGTAGTAATGAGGCAAGAACCATACATACAGGGAGGTTAGTAGAGCCACAGAGGATTACTCTTCAGTCTTTAGCCGACTACTGACCAATATACCAGGTGAGGAAACTACCAAATCCCTGGAGTAGAGAACACAGGACTATTAATAGTTCATGTTCCCACCAGTCAGAATGGAAAGACCTCCTTGAACATGAACAAGGAATACAACACTCAGGTGGGTGTGGCCTGAGTAATGGGAACACTTGAGTGCTAGACTAAAGGTTTCATGAGTTCACTGGAAAGGGTCAATTGAAAAATATGAACAATCAATTATTTCCCAAAAAAGTCAAACTGTCCCCCAGATACCTGCATCCTGGTACAAAATCCAAAACAATTTCAAAGAATTAAAAAGGTAAAACTCACAAGGCCTAGCACCCAATAAAAATTTCAGGCATGCAAAAACTATGGCCAATAATGAGAACAAAAAATCAGTAATAGAAACACGTAGAAGGCTCTCTTCAGCTGCACACTTGACAGACAGCCCCTCTTCTTGGGCAGTGGCAGCCATGCCCTCCAGACAGCAGGGTGAACCTGCTTTTAACTCTAGAAAAATGGATATCGTTGCTATCACTGACTCCTTCACTGACTACAACCACATGGGCTTCATGTTCCAGTATGAATCCACACTAAATGTGCACATTTAATGGCACAGTCAATGATGAGAACTGAAAGCTTGCCACCAGTGGAAAGTCCATCTCCACCTTATAGGAGCGAGACCTCGCCAACATCAGAAGGAGTGATTCTGGTGCTGAGTATGCTGTAGCAGCCACTGGTGTATTCATTACCTTAGAGCAGACTGGGGCTTATTTGATTGGTAGGGCAAAAACGGTCATCCTATCTGCTATGCTCCCATGCTTTGATGGGTGCCAGGAGTGTCTCCTGAATCACCATCAGCTTGGACCCCTTGGCCAAGGTCATCCAAATAATTTTGGCATTGTGGAGGGACTCAAGACCACAGAAGACTGTGGTGTGCCTATGGGAAGCTGTGGTGGGATGGCTAATGGGCTCTCAAGATATCATCCCCCCGCCTTCTGTTGGCACTACCTAGGCTAGGTCAACCCTGAGATGTATAGAACCCTCTCTGGCATGGCCTTCCATGTCCTCACCCCGAACATGTAGGTTGTGGAATCTGATCTGCTACCTGGTGAAAGCTGCCAAATAGGACACCAAGAAGGTAGCCAGACAGACATCACAGGACACGCTGAAGGGCATCCTGGGATACTACGAGGATCAGATTGTCTCCTGCAATTTTAACAGTGACACCCACTTCTTCACCTTCAATGCTGGGCTGGCACTGCCCTCAATGATCTCTTTGTCAATCTCATTTCCTGGTTTGACAAAGAATTTGGCTACAGCAACAGGATGGTAGATGTCATAGTCCACACGAGCTTCAAAAAGTAAAAGCCCCCTGAACTACCTCATGGATTGGAAGAGCCAATATTCAAATTTTCTCCAAACAGATCTAGTGATTACTTGTAGTCACAATGAAAATCCAAAATTCTTACAAATATTTTCTTATACAAATGAGAAAATGATTCTAAAATGTTTGTAGAAATGCAAAGAACATGAGTCAAAACAATTTGAACAACAACAAAAACAAGTTGAAGGATTTAAACCATGTATTTTCAAGACTTTATTGTAAAGCTACACTAGTCAAAATAGTGTAGTACTGATATAAAGATAGACCTAAAGATGAAATTTAACAGAATAGGGAAACCAGAAATAGACCCATACATATGTCAACTGACTTTGGAGAAAGACATAAGGACAATTCAAATAGGCTGTGTATAAATAAATAAATATTCCTTTCACAAACCTTAACTTACACCATAAATAAAAACTTAAACTGAAATGAATCACAACCTGAATGTAAGAACTAAAAATATAAACCTTCTAGAAGAAAACACAGAAGGAAAACTGTTATCTCAGATGAAGTAAATACTCTCAATAGGCCATGAATGACACAAACTATGAAAAAAACATACTGTAGACTTCAAAACTAAAAACATTTGCTTTTCAAAACATATTAAGGAATGAAAAGACAAACCATAAAGTATTCACAGAATCATTGTCTAATAAATTACTTATATCCAGAATGCAAAATGAACTCTTGCAACTCAATAATAAGAAAATAAAATCCCTAATAAGAAAGTGAGCCAAGGGGAGAGAGAAGGGTCAAACAAGGGAAGGAAGAGCACAGAGACTATGGTGATGGATCATGGGTGCTGTAATGGTGAGAGAACCATACCTGAGAGGAGAAATCAAATACCATCCAAAAATTAATAATGATGTATGAAAATAAATACAAAAAACTAAAAATTTAAAAAGAAAGAGTGTAAAAGATCTGAGCAAATACTTTAGAAGGAAGATACTAGATGGTAGAAAGTACATAAAAGATGTCCAAAGTTATTAGTAGTACAGTTAAAACCACCATACATACCCTCTTTACAGGATAAAAGTAAAAAGACTGATAATAGTAAGTATTGGTAAGGATGTGGATCAGTTAACTGCAAATCTCATATACAAATAGTGAAAATGCACTTTAGAAAGTTTATCAGAACTTAATTGCATACCTACCATACAATTTAGTCATTTCACTGCTATGTATTTATCCAAGACAAATGAAAGCACAAGTCTACACAAAGACTTGTATATGTGTATTCATGGCAGCTTTAATTTAATAGGCCAAGCTGGAAATATTCCAAATTTCCAATAGTGTGAGAGTAAACAAAACAATATGCCCATTCAATAGAATGCTACTTGGCAATAAAATGAACAAACCCTTGCTTTGCAGAATGACATGGATAAATTTCAAAATCATTATGTTGAGAGAACTAAATGTATAATCCATTTACATAAAATTCTACAGAATGCAAATTACCTTTTGCTGACTGAAAGCATATCAGTTGTTGTCTTGGGGTAGGGGAAGAAAGGCTGGATCTCACAGGAGCGAGAAATCTTTGCAGAATGAAATGTTCTTTATCTTGATTGTGGAAATGGTATTCTTCTTACTTCCCTAAGACAGCAAAATACAGTTCAGATGTACTGATTGTCGATTCTCATCAAACTAGACGTTGAATATGTGCAGCTTATTGCATGTCAATTTTATTCCAATACAACTGTTAAAAAGTAACTGCCCCATCTTCTTGATCCAGTCATGTATTTTTGGGCATTTGGGTTAATTCCACAGCTCCCTATTGTAAATAGTGCAGCAATAAACAAAGGGGTACAGGTATCCTTTTGAATTAATGTTTTTGTGTCCTTTGGGTAGATGGCTAGGAGTGGAATTGCTGGATCATATGAAAACTCCATTTTCAGCAATTTGGGAAACCTCCAAACAGCTTTCCATACTGTTTGTACCAGTTTGCATTCCCACAGCAATGTAAAAAAGTTCCTTTTTCTCTGTTGTACATATATACTATGGAATAGTACTCAGCAATAAAATAAATAAATAAACTCGTACCATTTGCAGCAACATGATAGAGCTGAAATGGATCATGCTTAGTGAAATAATCCAGAAAGAAAAGAAAAATACTGGATGGTTTCGCTCACAGCAGTTTAAGGGATTAGGAAAAAGAAGAAGGCAATTGAAATAAAGTAAAAATGAAAATCAACAAATAACTATAAGCTAGAGAGATTCTACGGAGATGGAGAGGGGAACAGGATCAAAATTGGGGCGGGAAGAGCACAGGGGACTGTGGTGATGGCACACAGGCGAACTGGTGGTGAAAAATTCACTGAGATTACAACCAAGGTGAAAACAATGTACAAAATGAAGACTGATGTAATGTGTGTGTGTAAAAAAAAAAAGTCACAAAACAGAAAAACAGAAGAAAAAAGAAAATGCCCCAAGCAAGCAACTGTTTACAGGTCCTTTAACCTGGCATTTTACATCTGTATCCCCAATCTACTCAACACCTTTTAAAAGAACAGGGGTTTGTTATCACAGTTTGGGCACAGACCCATGGAGTACTATTTGCAATAGGATGTATATTTCCCTCTATCAAAAAATGTAGGTGGAGGCAGATTCAGAAAATAATAGAGTAGATACTTAGTCAACACTAATTGGAGGGTAGAAAGGGCAGTGGAAGTGGATATTTGAGATTTCCTTTGCTTTCTTTTACGCCACCTGGAATCGCTCTGGAGTACCTGAAGTCAACCTGTCTTTCTTTGCCAAAGAATGGCCTGTTTTAAGAAACTGCTTGAGTTGCCACATGGCTTTTAGCAAAACATAAAGCAGCCTGTTTTCTATTGATGTTGTACGTGCTCTTAGGAAAGAAAAGCCATGTGAATCTGTTCCTTCCATCTGAATTACAGACACAGCTCAAGTTCTACCCAGAAAATCAGCCTTCCCTGGTCACGCCAGAACCTGCTCACACTTCTTCCCCCCTGCCCTCTGACCTGTTTATATCACTGTTTCATTACAATTATCCATTTTCTTACTTAGCCCAGGGGGATTTCTTCTATTCATCTCCCCAAATTTCCAGCTTTGCCTGTAATGTGAGAACTTCTATACACAGGCAGAAACTTTATAATAAGGGCAAATAATAAGGAAGTTTTCACTTTACCAATATTTATACTTCCTCCCCTTAAGAAACATAAACAGAGACTTATTTACAGACCTTGCAGAAATTTGCTCCTCCCCTTCCCTGCCTAAGGCCTCTCCCACTGCCTAGCTCTGCTAGATCTTCAATCAGGCCAAGCACCCTAAATCATGTTGGTGTTCTGTGTTTGGGTTTATACTGACTAATACATATCTGAAACTTGAAAAAAAAAAAAGGCATAAGCAATCTGGTGGGGAGAAGGTCACCACTGAGGCATGACTCAACTTGCAGCTAGACCCTTCTCTCAGAGAAATTGCCATAAGCAGAGCACATCCTCCTTTTGAAGTCAGCTTGTCATCCCAGCTGTGCTGCCTCCAACAGAGGAGACACTGAAAATGAGGAGGAACCAAGCCACATTCCTGAATCCAGCCTGATCAACAACACGCTACTAACACCCCATCGCCCAGCGTGCATGAGGGGTGTGCTCAGTCCACTGTCAGAATGCCTTTTCCTCTCTTTAAGAATTAAAATGCCTCCCCTTCTTGCTGACTTACTTGAGGGGAGTTTTGTAACTTCCAAGGTCCTGTTAGTCACTCTCAAGTCTTTATTCTACAGTATTATTTTTGTATGCTTTTAGCAATATTTTTTCTGTTTGGCAATCTAGTAAATTGTATCTCTCTTTCGACACATAAATTATAAGCTTTTTAAGAGACAAAGCTATATTACACTTATCACCGCATCAGTCTATTTAATATTTATATACTTAATATTTTATGTAATAATTATATAGTACTAATATAGTATTCTATTTGTATGTATACAAAGTATACATACAATGTATACTTACATGTACAAATTATTATAATAATACTAATGCTTATATATTTAATTTGGACCTTTTAAATTTCTTGTTTTTCTCTTTGTTTTTAGGCAAACTGTAAATTCAACATAGCAGGGAGTCACTTTTCATTAGTGTAATATCTTGTACCCTGGCACAGAGCTCTACATGGAATAAATGCTCTGTAAACATTTGTTGAACTAAATTGTATCTTCTCTTGCACATTTATCCATGCCTAATAAATATTTGTTGAATGACTGATGAGTCAATGATAGGGAAAATATGAGATGTGGAAGATGAATCTAAACCAAAGTGTCATCTTATTTACCTCCAGAATAGCTAAACACCAAGTGTCATAAACAACAAATATACACTTCCTTTGAAGATAACACTGAAACTATAAAAAAAAAGGTTCAACTGTGAAAATGATTCCTTGACCCGCACTACACATGTCCTATGGAGTTTTCATGTCTACAAATTGTTTATCTATTTAGTGTATTCAATACAATTTATATCATTACTGATTGCTCTTGTTTCTGAGTGAAAAATAGGTTTTTCACATGGCAGATAGAAGGAAATCCTGGAACTAGAATCTAGTTAAGCTAACAGAATTCCAAAAGCATGATTCAGCAAGGGGGTGCAGACTACAAGGGCACCCAAACCTCCAACAGCCTCCGGCTATGTTGTTTGTGTTCACATAATGGCTTAGATATTTGGCCCTCTGCTGTACAGGGCTAGTAGTAACTGATGCTTCGTGGCCTCAGAGAGGATCCTTAAACAAGTAATATGTATGCAATGACTGTTCAGTCTTCTGAGGAGTTCTATAGAAAGAAAGTCTCTTTCTATAGGAAATCGACAGCATGGCTGACTTGTACTAAAACCATTGTAGAACAATATGAAGTAGAATATAAGCAAGGGTGGAAAACTGTGCCTCAAACAGCTAGAACAGAGAAGGATAAGAGCAATGTTTCGTAGAGGAGCGAAGTCTTGAAAGAAAGCACTTGAGATTTAAATTGATAGGGATGCCCAGGGCACTCAGGAAAGAGGGCCAATTCCAAGAGTTATAATCTATTTGCAGCAAAAGTGCTTTCAGCAGTCCATGTGGAAGCTCACCTCCTTCAAAGCAGGATAACAGTCCGCTGACACATCTGAACTCCAAAATCAAACCTGCTATAGAATTTCCTGAGTGGCTTCTGAGTGGGTCCCAGTTTTAGATAACTACTACTTTATGGAAGCTTTTCTTCAAGGTGCCAACTATATGTGAGCCGGACACATCTGGGTGACAGATGAGCACAGAATGTCCACAGCTAAGCTAGTTCTTTAGTACCGTGGTTCCCAATTTGTAGGAAACATGGAGCTATTCTGAGGATCTCAGTAAATTCATGTAGGCACCATGTAAGTACAGTATGTCTTAGCATATTTCACGCAGAGTATGAAATTATCTGTGTGGTATTATTCTGTCTCAGGTGTCTATGTTTACTATTGGATTTAATTTTTAAAATATAGTTTTAAATGTAGTTGAGAATCACAGTGAGTTTCTTCACTGCTATCATCTAGGACTCTTCTAGAAGTTGAAAACCAATTACCCCTTCTCCAAATTTGGTTAAGTCCTAAGGAAAGAAGCACTGAAGAGAGGCCCATCACACAGAGTGGTGTGGTGAGGTAGGTCAGCTTTCCCAGAGAAAGTTCTGGTGTTTCTTAAAGAGGGAAGGTGACCCCAAAGCCTCAGCATTTTTGAAAGAATTTTTAGCTTTGTATTTTTATTTTAGTAATATCCCATAAAAAGTATATAAGCACCTTCTAAAAGGTCACCTAAAAGCCCAACTTATAACAGTGATAGGCAAGGATCAGAGTGGGATATGCAGTTGCAAATTATATGCTGAGGTGAATTGTATGTTTAGTCCCTGGAGATTTTAAATAAGTGACATGATCTGAGTTGTATTATTTTAAAGAGATCATTTTTAGGAATGTAGGGCCAATGGTTTAAGTAGGGAAGAAAGCGGTGGAAGCAGAAATGCCAGTTGGGTGTAGAGTCATTATAACAATGACACGGTTATTCAGACCACATGTGATGTTGAAACTGATTGTAGGACTTGGGTAGACCCTTAGGACCTAACTAAGGTTTGGGTCCCTTAAAAAGAAAGCATAATTCTGAATACCAGCCCAAAGGATGAACAAGAGTTAGCAGCAAGTCCTGGAGGTGAGAGAGTATGCATAATACATTGAAATCACTGAAAAACGACTGTTTAGAACCTTAATTGTAAATGGAGAAGGTGGTGAGATGAGCCTGAAGGCATGAGTAGGGTCAAATGTAGCCAGATTTAGGCATCTACCTTACATTCTAAAAGCAATGAGGAAAGTGAGTGCTTAAAATAGACAAGTGACAATCTTTTCAAGAAAGATTACACAGAGACGTGTCCGCTGGGTTGAGTAACAAGGAGATGGTTAGTGGCCTGACAAGGGCTGTGTGGGAGGTGGAACACAAATTGGCAGAAAGCCAGTTATGGCCTCAGCAATGAAACAGAAACAGCCCTGCCCAGTAGTGCTGCCCAACCAATGGATGAGAAGATGAAAGAAAATGCAAAGTTTTCTTTTTCTCTTTCATTCCAAGCTACTGGGAATCTTTAACT